CTTGGGCTCAGAAATTTGGTAATCCCAAGAAAATTTTGGAGGATGTCACAGCTGAGACTGAGGGAGTCTACTGTAGTTGTCCTGTGTGTCCTTGTCATGAGTGGATGAGTGCGTGCTGGCTGGTCTGAGCTTTCAGGCCTGGCCCATGGCAGCCAAAGATGCTGTCTTGGCACAGAGGGACACTTCAGCATCCTAACAGGAGTCTGAAGGTTACCAGTGGTTCGCATGAAAAGCAGACTGCAGTCGTATTAACATTTAATGAGAAGGCACAGCCCACAGAGGCTGTGTCCTCTGCTACAGGCTCTCTTTTCAATTAGATGACATTTCCTTTCCTGCTTGGATCAATGTGGGACATGGGGTGGTGGGACGGGCAGGCTTTGCCTTTATCTCTTTAATGCAAACCACAGCAGATCTGAAGAGCTGCCAGGCTGGGAGGCGTTTGCCATCCGCTTGTGCCGTCTTCAACACTTCGACGTCTGACCTGGCGTTGTTCTGCCAGATTAAGGCAGCTCTGTTATGTAACAGCACTGCAAAATGGTGTCAATAATTTCAAAGGAATTCAGGCAAATGGTTGAGGTTTTTCTAGTGGTGTAAATCCCCGTGTGCAAACCAAGTACATCAGACTTTAAGCAATTAATTCCTAATCATGCCAAATGCCTTCAGTAGCCCAGCTTTAGCACTGAGAGCTTAAGCAGTTTTCCACTGTACCGCACTTAATTTGGATAAAGTGAAGAAACTGGTATCATGGCATTTCTAGCCTAAAGGTGCAGGAGTGGCCAGTAAAATGACATTTGAATTGAGAAAAATCCCCCTTTCATTTGTGTTCTAGGCATCTATTACTGGGAAGACACCATAGCTAATAAAAAAGGCATTCATTATACTCTAGAAAGGGAGTTCATTAGAGAGAAAAGCCATTCTAGCTTAGTAAGAAATGCATCTGCAACTGCCTCAGAGCTGTTATTCTCATCAAGTTTCAATGTTAGCAATTTTAACCAAGAGTTAATTGAGCAATCTCAGAAAGCAGAGTAATTCCTTTACTCAGATAAGCTTTGTAAGGCTACCACGCACAAGGCAAAAGGAGCACAAATGACTTTCATTAAGCCAGGAACCGCCAGTGTTCTTGCCTATTACTACTTTTTCTTTTTTAAAAAAAGTAGGGCTTTGGGGCTTTTGGCAACTGTCTTTGGCAAAGGGAGCTCCACACCAGTATTACAAAGCTCATATATAACCATGCCATCCAATTTTTTGGATAGTAGAGGGTTTAATTTTCATAACTCACCAAGCAGCAGTCCTCTTCTGGAGGGCATGGCTGAAGATGCTTGTGGCCTTTGGACTGGTACAGTGTCCCCAGGAAGACAGTACATCTTCCTTGCAGGATTTTGCGTGGAAAAGGGCCATCCTAAGCTCCGTTCCGGCTACTGTCCAAAGAGCATGATTCTGTCATTGGCTGCACTCTCAAGAGATGCAGGGTTAGCTAATGTTGCTTTTAGAAGAGCGTTTATAGAAACCTCCCCAGTTCCTTTGCTTCATGGAAGAGCTGTAATCAAAAATAAACTTACTTGATTTAAAGAAAAGAAGAAATAGTCACACTGTATCCAGGGCACTAGACTAAGTCTTTGGAGAGAGTGTGTTGGTTGAACCGTGGAGCTGTTTTTCTTGCTGTTGTCCTTCAACGAGTTCTACTACTCCTGCTGCTGTTGTGCCCCTGAGCACTGGAGTGTTTGCATCCTTCTGTGGAAGTGACTTTCTCTTGGTGAGCTCAGCAGGATTTAGTCTGTTCCCCGGAGGTGGCCGGAGGTCCCTTTTTGTCACGAGATTGCTCTGCAGTGATGATCCTTTCATGCTAGCACAGAACTAGGGTTCTTATTACATACCGCCCTTAGCAAACAGGTATGTATCCATCAGTGTCTTTGCAGCCTACAAAAGGCACTATTTGCTCTACAGAGCTTCCAAAGCCTGTTCCCATCTCTCAAAACGTGAGGGAGGAGATGCTCTAACACCTGCAAGTGCTGTTGTGTTTCAGTGTCGAGCTCTGCATGGGGCTGTCTGCCGAGAAGGGCAGTGCTGTTCATCTGGAGGCCACATTCAAAGGAGGCCAGGGCTTCCTTTTCTCAGTGCTAACTTCTCATCATACCGCTTGGTTCGACCACAGGCCAAGTCTGAGACGTAATGATGTGGGGAAACAGAGCAGGCCCTGCAGGCCCTGCTAGGCAAAGCACAGACCTGTGCTGAGCAGGGGGTGTAAACCCATCTGCACAGTCACCCGGAGCTTGGGAAGGAACTTGAACAAGTGCTGCGGGAGGGAGGCAGGATGGAGATGGATCCTGGATAGGATAGGGAAAGGAAAATCAGTACCTTTGCAGAAGGGGTTCAGGCATACCTGGCTCGAGTCTGAGATGCTGAAAGGATGTTGGGAAGCTTTAAATTATGTCAACTCACCCAGCTGGATGGAGCGCCTGTTGAAAGGCAAGCTCTGACTCCAGCGCAGGGCAGTTCAGCTACATCCAGTTGTGAGCAGATTGCCCCAGTGAACAACAGGCAAAGAGGGGACCGACTTCCCACAGCATGTCAAAAGTATGGAAAATCCAGTCATAGTGTTTGGGGTTTGATCTCCGTATCTGTGTCTCAGCATTGAAAACACTTCAATGCGTGGAATACACCCAGCAGTTACATCGTCCGGGAACCCATGGAGGTGAATAAGGAAGCACGGGGAAAGAGCTGCGCTCATCTGTTTGGCCATACCTCGCTGTCATTTGTTCTGAGCTAAGGTGTGTGTTACACTGGTGGAATGTTTGAATGTGTCTGTGCTCTAACCAGCCTGCCTGCCTCGTTCCTGCACTTACTGGATTACAAAGCACTTCTTGTCCCTCCCTGTGCAGCAAACCTTGATTTGCTAATGTCATTTGTCAAGTTAATCAGGGAGAGTGGGCACTTAGATGGCTATTGTACAGCCCGGCTGCATTGCCATGGAAACACGGCAGCCAAACAGACATTCCGCTTGCCTGCTTTGCTCCGCTGAGGTTCGGCATGGAAACCCAGGATTTTATTTGCCATCTACAAAACAACTTGCTGGGGATGTGGATAGCTTTTTGAGGTTCCTGTAAAGAAATCAGGACAAGTTTCGCTAATCTTTTATGGACCGTATGGTATCACTGTTACTAAAGCAGTTCCAGAGTTTGAACGTTTAGCGCCTCTTTCCGTGTCCCACAGACGTTTGGCTCTGGTAGGAGCTGGGTGAGGGGAGTTACAGCCTGGCAGCTTGCACTGGAGGCAGCCGTCAGAGCATTATCAGTCTCCCTCAGCTGGATGCTTTCCAAGAAGGTTATTCTTTGCCTGCAGGAGCAAAGACCATCAGTTAAGGTACTTTGAAAAGCACCAAGTCTAAGAACATCTCAGGAGCCTGAAATCCCCCCAGCAGTTGGGGGGATTTAGAAGCTGATGTGCCACAATCATGTTTGAAACGAGGAGGCGAGTGCTTCTGAAAACCCTACCCTCCGCCTGACCTCTTGCATAATGCAGACTATAGAATTTCACCCACGAACTCCTGCACCGAGCCCATAACTCATAGGCGAAATCTGGGTACTGAAAGAGGCAGCGGAAGATGCTTGCGCGTGTCACAGACCTCTCGAGCTGTCCTAACTCTCCCTCTCCTCCCTCTCACGTGTGCACGCGCTAAATGATGCATTGAACAGGTTTGGAAACGCTCCCTCCTGCCGGCCCGGCGAGCAGGACAGCTGGAATCCCGAGCACCTATGGCCCCCTGCCCCCCCCGCCGTGCCGTGCAGGACAGCGGAGGAAGCCTCGCCTGAGCACGGAGAGGGCAAAAGTTCAGACCATATTGTTTATGGGATTTTGTGGAGCCGGGAGCCAAGGATAGCTCAGCTAATCCAGAGGAAACTGTAGCGATGGCATTAGAATGCGTTTCACATGGGATTCATTCAGCGCGCGTTCAGAGGGACTCGTCTTTCTGTCTCCGTTTTTTTAGCCATGAAATATTTTTCTTTGCACTCCGCTCTGCCAGCCGCACTGAGCCAAACTCCAAGCTGGGCTGTTTTAAGAGAAGAAAAACTCTTGTCGTTTGACCTGCCGACGAGCTCGCGGGGTTTCAGCGCTGCTCCCGGTAACGACAGCGCCAGGCGCTCATCTGGCCCCCGGCCGCTGCCAGCCGCGCTCCCGCTCCAGGCTGCCTGATGATCCGCTGCTTTTTTCCAAGCCGCGGAGTAGCGCTTGCTGAGGTGAAAGCCCCACGAGGACACTCGCCCCAAGAGCATCACGTGGCAGCTGTCTTTGAAAACGGGCTAGGGAAAACATGAGAGGATCCCGACTTCAGGAGCAACGTGGGGTTTCCGGCAACGCGTCGCAGTGCTGGATGGCAGCGGGGAAGGCTCCCCGGCGGATGAGAAGGCAGCGGCTCCGCCGTGCTCTGCTGCTCCTGAGCAGCTCAACCTGTGCTGGTTTCAGCTGCCCTCCGAGCCCTGGGCTTGTCCTCCTGTCCGTGCTGTGTCCCGTGCGAGGTCTCGGTGCGGGCCCCACAGCGGGACCTCCACGCTGAGCTGCTCTTTGCAGATCTCGGCCTCCCGCCCCGAGGGAGCTGCCCCCACAGAGCCCCTTTCTCTGCTGGACGAGGTGACCTGGTTTGACTCTGGGTGCAGGTGCCAGCTTGTTTGCTGTCCCAGCCCCTTCCATCAGACCCTCTCACGTGCTCTGGATTAGCCCAGCTGTGACTGTTCCCTTCAGAGAGCTGCCGCACAGAGGGGGTGTTTTCCTCTCCCTGGGGACTATATCTTGGGGAATCACATTTAAAACAAACCTATCTGGGAGTTACCACAGAACACCCCTCTCTTGTTCCTACAGCAATGACTGGATTGCACAAATGGGGTGCGTTTGGGGAGTAGCTCAGTGACTCCCATGGCACTGGAAGCTGGGAAGGACCCTCTATGTCCGCAGGGCACGCGCATGGGGGTCCTGGGCTTCTCTTCCCGCCTGGATATGTGTGTAGCATGGTGTCCAGCCTCGGCTGTGCCACCGGCTTCTCGGAAGCACCAAAGCAAGCCGTGTTCCCCCAAAACCGTGTGCTCAGGTGAGGAACAGCCGCGTGCTCAGCTGCTGGGAACAAAGACTGTCTCTCCAGCCATAGAGATTTCTTCTGGATGTTGCTCTGGTAAGGGGAACGACTGTTGGAGCCCTTGGTTTTTGGAAGGTTTCTCCGCGGCAGGGCACTGCCCTCAGACTGATTTCTCTTCTGTAGTGTTTCTAGTTTGGCTTTTGGGGCAGAGAGTGATACAAGCAGCTTTTGAGCTCTGAGTTTCTAAGGGTTTCATCCTGCGTCCTGTCATGGGTGTAAAGCTCCTCATAAGATTTTCCTGTCTGTGTTGCTGGATTCATCCCTGTGCTGGATATCTCTCCTTGGTGCAAGGTTTCTGGGGCTAGTGCTCCTTCCAGGTGTGGACCTGAAGAAAGCAAAGAGGTGGTGATTTTGCAGAGCGTGGGACATATGTACTTCTTTTTTTCAAGTGTAAAAACACTTCTGACACAAGCTTCAGTTCAGTGCTGCCTGCAATATCAGAACAGCAGTAGCCCCAGAAAAGTTAAAAGGCCAAGCCCCCCAAATGGCAAAACAAATGCGGAATTTAATAATCTGGAGTGACAAGCTAGGGGCCTCACACTCTTGTGAGCGTCAGGAACCAGCTGGATCGCAGGGGTGCCTCAGTGCTCGGTTACAGTGTTTGTGTCGAGGGCGTGAGACAAACACGCTTGCCCACAACAGGGAGGCAGTGTTGTTTGTGGATGGGGTTACTGCTTTTCCTTCAGAAAGGTTTTACAGCTCACTCTGAAGGTCCCGATCGCCACCGTGTTTCAAGGGAGGCAGAGAGGCTCCATGGCCTCCGCCCGCGCATGCATCTGCGTAGCCAGGGCCAGTGCTGGAAACCCGTTTGCACCAAAAAACCCAGTCCCCCTTTGCACCAAAGCCCGAGGAAAGGAGCGACGCCGCCTTTCTCGGCCTGCCCATTGCCATGTGCTGCCCACGAGTGTGTCCGGGAGGTGGGGACGGCCGCACCACAACCCGCTGGGCCCTTCGGTGCCCTCACAGGGCAGGGCCAGCCGGGGTGCCCAGCGCCCTTGGGCCGTGCTGTCCCGTAGCCCCTGGTGCCAGGGGCCAAAGAGGGACCGATGTTGCCATCTGCTGGCTTAGCTGCACAGGAGCAGCAAGGTCTGCGCTCAGCCGTTGGGAAAGGGGCTGTGTCCGGACCCTGCGCGGTGCCCGCAGCCCTGGTCGCTCCTGTGCTGGGCCGTAGGCAGCCTCACACTGTGCTGACTGATCCATCGGCCTCCTCGTAGCATCTGCTTGTCCAATGGGTGTTTCTGGGGACAGGATCAGTGGTCTCTTCCCATCCCATCTGAGGCTCCCCTGTTCCTCACGCCTTTCCTTTCACTGTCTCTGCGACAGTGACCCTCCTGCCTTCCCCGCTAGTTTGAAGCGTTGTCCTCTTCAGGGCACTCTCCTCCCTGCCCAGGGAGCCTCTGCGGAGCCCTTCTTGACAGCGCTTGTTCCTCTGAACGATGAACATTTCCACTGCTGATTACAGCTGTCATGCGCTTATTCCTCCTCTGGGCTTGTCTTTAATTATTTCCTTTCTCTTTTGTGTTCTTGGCAAGTGCTTGATGGCTGGGAACACATCACTGCCATAGCGAGTGCCCTGGGAATGCAGGACCTTGCTCATCTGGCCAGCCCATCACGATGAGAGCTGCAGGTTCCTCATCCCTGTCCCAGGTGCTCCCTGGTGCCCCTCAAATTACCACTGCGTGTACAGGAGCAGTGGGAACATGCCAGCATAATCAGTGGCAGCTCGCTTGGGCATCGCTTGGAGCATGTGGTTACTTTTGTAGCTCTATTATCTTTCTAGGCAATTAGCACGAGTTAGGAGCCATGGGGACTGCGGCAGCAAAGCGCGGGAAGCCCGGTTAAGCGCTTCTCAACACTTATCTAAGCCCAGTTAAACGGGTCTCCTGCGAGCCAGCCCTACAGCTGGTAGCGTAACTCGTAACACACCAGAGATGCTCTCTAGCCTGGAGATTGCTTTTCTTCGAGGCAGATACCCCAGAGCTTTCCATTCAATGGCCGTGCGAGGAAGAGGAAGGCTGCTCACGCAGCCCGGGTGAGCCCAGCAGTGTCCGCAGCGGAGCAGACCGGAGCAGCCGCGGAGAGCCCGGATAGCGCGCGGTTGCCGGTGCAGCCCCG